TCTCCGTGAACGATGCCTTATAACTGTTGAAGACAACAAGTTGAATATGCATGATTTGCTTCGAGAAATGGCCAAAGTAATCATATCTGGAAATTCCCGTCGTCCCCCTGGAGAATGGAGCAGGTTGTGGATCCCTGGAGATGTCTATGATGTACTAACAAATAAATCTGTAAGTAGATTCCCAAAAAAAAATTGTATTAATGCATCGTACAAGAAAAACATATATGTAACCCACGTATGCCTATTATACATTAAAAACATTCATGTGTAAATATATGTATTTGCATTAAGAAGCTCAATTAGCAAAATCACGTAAAATAGATGCACATAATCCTTTTCTTACCCAGTATAATGTGTTGTTAACAGGGAACCAAAGAAGTTGAAGGACTTGTTGTAGGTTTCCCTGATCTTCTGTCTCCAAGTATCAGTACAGAAGCATTTGCCGATACGTGGCAACTGATACTGTTCCAGCGCATTAAAGTGCAGCTCCATGGAGAATTCCCTTTAAAGTCTAGTTGTATCAGTACAGAAGCATTTGCTAATATGAAGAAACTGAGACTGCTCATGCTCAAGAACGTGCAGCTCAATGGAGAATACAAACATCTCCCCAAAGAGTTAATATGGTTGTGTTGGGAAGGATGCCCTTTAAAGTCCATACCAGATGACTTCTTTGATCAACCAAGAGCACTAGTTATTTTAGAGATAACGCACAGCAGACTGGTACAAGTTTGGGAGGGCTCCAAGGTACTATCGATTACACATGATGATGTTATGTTTCTATTTGTTTTTATATTTCCTTCTCTCTATATTTATTTATTTATTTTATGAGATATTCCTTTTGGATATTAATTTTAATTTTTCTTGGATTTTTCTGGATTTTGTGCAACAGTTGCTTGAAAACTTGAAAATCCTTAATCTCAGTGTTTGCCTTGACTTAAAAAAATCACCAGACTTATCAAATCTCCCAAGTCTTGAAGAGTTGATATTGGAATGGTGTGAGAGTTTGTCCGAGATTCACCCCTCCATTGGTCATCTTAAAAAACTTTCTTTGGTGAACCTCACAGGCTGCAAGAATCTTATTTCTCTTCCTGGGGATTTCTACAGGTCCAAATCCGTTCAGACTCTTGTTCTTGATTTTTGTGGGCAATTCAGTGAACTGTCCGAGGATTTAGGGAATATAATATCATTGAGAGTACTTAAAGCATCTGAGACAGCCATAATACAAGTACCGCGTTCCACAGTAAGATTGAAGAATCTCACTCATTTATCTCTAATTGGGGGTCTTCCTTCCAGAAGAGCCAAATTTGCATTGCAAATTCGCGATTTGTTACAGGGCTTTGACTCTTTAAGAAATTTAGATCTCTTATTCCAGAGGTTAAGCGATGATCCATTATCAAAGGGTTTTGGGAGTCTAATTTCTTTACAAGATTTAGATCTCTCATCTAATGATTTTCATACCCTACCCAGCCTCAGTGATCTTTCAAAGCTTGAAAGTTTGCGGTTAGATTACTGCCTTAACCTTCATACAATCTATGGTTTACCAACAAATTTGAAATTTCTGTATGCGTCTTGTTGCCATCGTTTGTTAACAATGCCCAATTTTTCGAAAATGTCCAATATGAGGGAACTGAATGTACGTGATTCACGCGCACTCACTGAGATTCCAGACTTGGATAAGTCATTAAACTCCATGACATGGATTGATATGACGGATTGCGCCGAACTCACCGCTGATTTTATGAGGAAAGTCCTAAAGGTATCTCTCTCTTTAATTGTCTTCCTATTGCGCACATGCACACACACACATGTACATTGTGTTTGTGTGTGTATATATATATATGACACTCGCACTGTATATATAGGGATGGACTTCTTGCGGATATGGTGGCATTTTTTTCAAAGGGAATTATGTTCCTGATTGGTTCGAGTTTGTCAACGATGGTAATAAAGTCAGTTTTGATATCCTCCCGAGTGATGGTCGTAATTTTGAAGGGCTGACTCTGTTATGCTTTTACTGCTTTATTCCTAAATATTCAATTCATAGCAAACCTTATTTCACATGCAAAGATGGTCATCCTCGTGCCAGTATTGATATAAATAATACCAAGCGTACTGAGTTGCAGACCTGCATAGGCAAGGAAGATTGGGTTATAAAAATGCACAATGTATCTGGAAAATGTTTTCTTTGGCAGGGACAAATATCGAACGATAAGCTCAATTTGCAAAGCGGGGATAAAGTTGATATAACTTTTGAAACAGTACATCTGATAATGTGACAATTAAGGGAACAGGGGTTAATCTAGTATGGGACAAGCCTATGAAGGAAAATGTGCACGATTTTGATGGTGATGGTAGGTTTTTGATCCAGAGGCACAACCAAGGTGGTGATGCATCGTCATCATCACATGTTTGAGTCAGATCACAATCAATAAATTTCAACTTTTTCGATTTTTGAGTCACTCCCATAAGAGGGACGAGCGACCCAAATTCTGAGCAAATCCCCTCTTTACAAAACCCTCCAAATCCCCTCGCCTTCTCCGCACCTTTGGCGTCGCCGTCATCACCCTCGGTCACCCCCCGAGCTCTCAACGCCATAAACCTAGGTATGTAGATAAACACACAAACGTATATGTATATATGTATATATCTGTAATTGCATTTGATTTGGAGATGATTTGAATTTTTGAGCTTGAACTTTATGGCATCGTATTGATTACAAATCTATGTTATTGCATTTGTTATAAGACGAAACGTTGGATTCAAATTTCGAAGAAGTTAGCTTTTTTTGGAAGAATTTTGTGTTTCTGTTTAAGTGGGAATTGTTGGAAAATGCAGATTTGGATGTGAAATACAAGAGCTATCTGGATGAATGGGAATCTCACCCAAATGTGAAGTGTGTTCTTGTTGATAGCCGCTCGGCTCGTGCCTTTTGTGGCGGTAACGCCCAGAACTCGTATTTGAATAGTTTCTTATCTTTCCTGGCAATTTTACACTTCCATTTTAGCATGTAGTTGAATAAGTTTTTTCTAGATATGTATGTTCAGCTCTTTTGGCAGTTATTTTGGTTTTGGGGTCTCTTAGGTAAGGTTTTGAGAGTGAGCAATCATGGTAAGTGCAGGTAAGGATATTAAAGTTGTTGTTGCCGAAATTCAAAAGGACAAAAACACGCCTCTTGTGCCGAAGGTTTCTACATTACGCTTTGCTTTGAACTAAAGTTGTTTCTTGTTTAGGTGCTTATGTGATAGATTGTTGGTCTTTGATGTTCGTGCTGTTTCATGTCATGTTGTTTATTGTTTCACTTCATTGTTCCTTTTTGTGTTATTTTTTTTGCCATATAGAGATAGATGGTGTCCGATAAGTTGGCACTTTGATTCATTGATAAGTAATAACCCAGATTTAGATTACCTGCGGGCGGTGATGTGAAGCAGATCACGGCCAAAAACCAACCACCAAATATGATTGTTGTCTAATTGTGTCCTTTAAACTATATAGAATAACAGACTTATAACCTTACACCGTTTTCTAAAATCCAGATAATATAAGATGACTTCCTTCTCTACCATATAAGATGTAATTTTGGTAATTTTCATAGTGCATAGATTTACAACTATCAAGACGATTGACCCTTGCAAAATCATTGATGATTAAGCCTTAATACAAGCAAGCAAGCCCCTTTTAACAAAATTCATGCGTTAGAATCGTAATGATGTATTTGCTGATAAGCCTAAAGTTCAAAGTGTGAAAATCACTTATATGAGTTCTGCTACTTCTTTAATTGCTTTGGCTATTCAATCTCGTATAAATGTCATAAATGGCAGCTAAGATTGTGCTTTCAGCAAGTATTTATTAATGTTCAATACATACGATTGTTTTTTTTCTTTTGTAATTTCATGTTTGACATTCTCGGGCAACCTACAACATCTGATCATTTGTTTAGTCGTGATTTTGCTTGAACTTGGGTAATATGATTTGTAGTGGTTGGATAGGATTCATATCTTTTCTAAGCTACCATTTCTTAAGATTGAGAGGCTACCGGTATGATACTTGTGCTGCATGTTTTTCAGGTATTCACTGCTGAGTATTCTCTAATATGCAAAATCTCTGAGTACAAGAAGCCCTATCTTCATGGATGGCATAACAATGGGCTTTGGTGTTGGCCTATCAGGTCACGGTCGCTACCGGATCATTACAGAGGTATTATTGCCTTGTCAGACAGAGATTGTCAATGTTGTGAATTACATTGCCTTTTTGAGTTTTTTGTGTCTTAACTTTGTATGGATACATTTCAGAGGACTGTTCTTTGCCATGCCAGAGAATGTAATTTGGTTGTTCCCAGATGTTGGGTTTTCACGTATAGCGGCAAAGAGTCCAGGAGGAGGATCTGTAGGTATGTCTTTTCTATACTCTAGGCGCAATTTATTTTCCTATGACTGAAGCAAGCTGTTTTTTCCAGTGTTGATAAGGAGAAATGTTTAGATTATAAGAATATAAAGAGAATGGCCTGTACCATTTCTCTGTTTGATTCATGCATCAATTCTTAGTTCTGTATTTGTTTTAAGTTTAACACTGTCATGTCTTTCTTGGTGCTTATCTTTGACTTACTGGGAAAAGGATTTCAACACCATCGGATGCGCTGTATGTGGACCCATTTTGTCCCATCTCAAAACTTTAGCTATTTGTGCCAAAGAATCAAGGCTCACTTTAGAGCTTAGCTTTTACAAATACTAGTTGTAAAACTATGCCTTCAGCATGAATTTTTGCCTTTCTTCATTCAAAAACCATCTGCAATATCCCCCCAAATAAAGAGAACTTTAACAATGCTGCTTATGAAACATTTAACAGATGGAGAGGTGGAGAGCTTCAAGTGGATTCGGTGATGCATGTTGCAAGCATCATACCGAGGACACAATATTTCAAACCAAATTGCTCTTTTGTCATCATTGACTTCCTTTCCCGACACGGGTATTTCACTTTCACTACTGATATTCTTACAATAAGTGATCAGATACGAGAGAAACTCACACCTGGAGGATGCCTCTATGATGGTATCTCAAACCATTCATGCACGGCCAAGTATTTTAACTACTATGCGACTCCCTTCCACAAATCTGATCTTTGTTTCTTGTTAATGCAGGTACATTAGCCCCGAGTCCTTCGGAAACCTGGATCTACTACAAAGTTTGAGAAGTGACGATTGTTCCTAATTGTATATTTTTCTTTTTTGGTACTGCCTGACTCTGTTTTTTTTACTCCTGTTTCTTCCCCGGAATTGCAGAAAGCTAATGTTACAAACAAGGCAACTAAAGCAGCTGTCTCCAAATGCAGCTGTTTCTTCTCTGTATCGCTCGTTAAAATTTGCATCGAGTATCGTCTTATCTTCTTATCTGTATCTCACAATTTTTCGTCCCCTTTTGTCAACTAACTTTGATATTTCTTCTTTTTTCTACATTCGTTTGTCCTTGATAATTTCTTGAGGTGCCTCCAAATACTGAAGACGGTTGTGAAAAGATAACTGTTGACTGCTGTATGTTCTCCCAGTAGAAAAACACATTGTCGCAATCGTTGTCAACCGCCTCTGTCTGCTTGGAACAACGTGAGACAGTCCCCTCTCCTGAGCACTACTACACTGCCGAACCAAAAATTTGCAAGAAACACGGAAACACGAACAAACTCGAAAAACAGAACAATGGAAATGAAATAACAACACAGCAAGAGCCATGACGAGACTCAATACGTTGTAAGAAATCCAAAGTTGTCTAAAGTTGTCTTTATCTTCTACTACAGTGCTATGTAGTAGTGTCGGGACTGCAACGGAACCCAATCCATACTCCATGCCCGGAACCGTGCCGTGCCGTAAGGGTAAATGTGATGGTTTCGTCAAGTCAACAAAAATGAACAAAAGTGGAACTTGCCGTGTCAGGGTCATAGGACACCCAGAACCAGAATATTGAACTATGAACTTGCCGTGTCAGGGTAAATTTGTGAGAAAAAAGCATATTGGCTAGTGATTGTGAGCCCAAAATTCTTGACTGGAGGTTGGTGTAAATTGGCCTCTTCACTCGTTGCATAATCAAAGTTGCGCATAAATCTTTCAGTTTATTCGCTCATCGTCAATTAATTTTGGATAAAATCTTCACGGTGGTAATAAAGCAGTAGAGAGCATGTTATTCACGTGTAGGGCTTGACAGCCACACATATATGTTTCATAATAATCCGATATATATTATTTCAATGCCATAAAATAATGTGGCACAATGCGTTGATAAAATATTAAATGCAACTTAATATGTATTGTAATTCACTGTTTAATTGTTGAATTACAAACAAAAAATTTTAAAACCAAAAATTTTAAACCTTAATTGTATTTGTCACTTTTAACTTTGGATCGAAATGGAATCGCACATTAGAGAATTAAAGCGTTTCATAATCTTCACATGAACCATCCGCCTTAAATAATTAATAAAAACCTTAATTAGAATATCCTTATTTCATATTTTGTTATTTTTCCCAATTGAATCCCTTATTTTTTGCCGAAAACAACTTAAATATTATTAAAGACCCAATGCATATTACATCCCAATTCAAAGGTTTTAGAATTTAATACAAATTAGTGCTGGTTTTTAAGTCTTTTAAAAATGAATAAACACGTCTCTTAAAAATAAAAAAAAAAAACATGTCGCTTAGTATTACGATGTAAAGGTATTCCTCTTCAGTTGTGAGTAAGATGTTTTAGATTTGATTTTGGATAAAGGTGGATTTGAACAACATTATTAATATGATAGTCCATTGTGAGGTTAAGCTCATCTCCTCCCTTAAAATAAATAATATTGTTTGTTCAAAAATTAAAAAGACTAGACACACCTTTGTTAAATTAATTTTGGATTCCAAAAGTGCTTCAAGTGCTCAAGATATGTGGTTTTTGTAGAAAGTAATCCAAATGACTTTTTAGAATCCACTTGGTTTTACTAAGGATTGATTTAAAAAACATTTTAATCAAAAATGCTTTCAGTCATTTTAAAAACATTTTCAAACAAATTTTTAATAGTACACAATTAATTTTAAATTTAACTAATACTTATACCTATTTAATATAAGGAAAAATAGTAAAAAATGCTTCAATTGTTTTAGTTTTAACGATAATGACAAAATAAAATGTAAAGTAAATAGTATCAAAATTGACTTTTTAGTATAAAAATATAATTTTTCATTAAAATAAATCGTACCATGAACTTTTCGTGAAAATTCTCTTTAATTTATTTGTCTCCACCTTTAATTTTTGCCACACATCATGATCGTGAATGTATTCTTTGGTTTGGAGGGAAAGGGAATTGATACTCAACCTCTTTCTTTCTTTATTCCTAAAAAAAAAAAATTTGAAATTGACAATCACGCCTTTCGCTCTCAACCTCTCTCCCTCCCTCCCTCCCTCCGATATAAAGACCCTCCTTCCGCACCAAAATTCCTCTTCGTTCCCACGGATTCTTCCCCATCGTCACACTCCAACCGCCGTCTTTCCCGCCAAATTTATTGTCGAACTATGCCTCCGTCCTCCGACCCCGTCGTCCCCACCGTCACACCAGTCACCATATCCTACTCCGAGCTCCAAGTAACTCTCTCTCTCCCCCTCCTCTAAGTTCTTTTTGTGGTTGCCGAGAAAATTGAGCATGAGAGTTTGGTTTGATTGCCTATAATTTTTTTTTTTCTGTTTGGGTGCTCAGAAACTCAAGAGAATTCGTTGAAGTTAGAGCAAAATTTTATTTCAGTTGACTTTGTGGTTGTTATTCTCTTCATTCTCAGCAACCAAACAGAATCTAATTGTTTTATTCATAGTTTTGTTTAATTGCTATGTTTTAACTCGTCGATCATGTCGAGAATTCGATTTTTCTAATTATCGTTTTTTGATTTTGGATTGATACAGGACAGGGACAAAGATTTGTCAGTGAAGATTGAAGAAGGATTTGGACCAAATGGGTTGGGAATCCTATCAATCACTCAAGTATGATTTCGTTATGCGATTACCGTTGTTAATTACTGATTATCTCTTCCATTACCAGTTTTGGTAAGTTAAACTATATGTGCAGAAAGAATTTGTTAACGAATCGGTTAAAAAGATAAACCACATGAACTTGCATATGTAATGTCGGGGTACTTTCTCCGTCATGTAGATTGTAGATTGTGCTGTTTGGGCAACGATATTTTGCTCCATTATTCCATTCATAGCTCATAAATTATGATGTCTCATGCTGTTGTTTTGATGCTTCATACCTAATCGATTCTTGTGAGAGCTAGCGTTTTGTTGTAAACTGATACGTATTTTCTTTCTAGCATCTTTGTAATTGTTTCTTTGAGTTTTCAATTGCAGGTTCCGGGATATTCTTCCTTGCGCGGGAATCTTCTAGGCTTGTCACCTAGGTATATCCCTTCTACGTAGGATTTTCATGTTCATTTTAAGTTTTAACTGCAATTCATAATGAATTTAGGAAGATAGTTTGTTATAGCACTGCTCATGGGAGTTTTCTTTTTGTTTATTAGATTAGCCAATCTGCCCGAAGAGGTGAAGAAGGAACTTGAAGATCCTCATAGTAGGTAAGTCATTTTAGTCCCATTGTTATACTTTGATTTCTCTTAAGCCGTTGGCATAATTTTCGTGTAAACACAAACATCAATCTATGTTTTACTTACAATAGAGAAAAATTCCAAAAATCCCTGCCGCATCTCAACTCTTGGATTTTCAGAGACTATGGTCTTGACATTATTAACTAATAATTTACGTAGTTTTATTGCTTTTCTTGGGAATCTTTACAAAGTTTTATTGCTTATCTTCTTTTTACCTGCCATCCATGTTTAGGTACAATTTTGGATGGAGTCATGGAAAAGAGAAGCTGGAATCTGGAAAGCCTGGTATCACTTTATGTTCTTTGTTTTAAATTTTGTTTCTTTGGAAACTCTAAGAACTTAGGATCATTCATTTTCCGTTTGTGTTCTGGTTTTGCAGATACGTTAAAAGGCTCGTTTTATGCAAATCCAATATTGGATAGCCCTACAACAGATGAATCTCTAATTCAAAGGTAAAAGTCAATAGGGACATCAATCATAATCTGAGTACATGTGGGATCTATTTTGTCTGAGGTCACACAGTATATGGCTCATACCAGTAATGTCTGGCCAAACAGTTGTTTGTGTTAGTTATGAATAACTATCATACATTTGATAAAGGTTTCCTAGAATTAACCAGGACAAATCGTCTTTATGCTGGGATATGTTTATCTTTATTTATCCTATTTGAGAACTTACAGATTTTGCGTAAACAGAACATAATACTTTGTGTCTGCTCAGATTTTATTTGTGATATGTATTGTAGGTATCCATCATACTGTGGTTCAAATATATGGCCCGATAGTGAATTGCCAGAACTAGAAGTCAGTATGTTTTCCTTTAATTTATGATTGTATTTTTTCATGATTATGTCATCACTGCATGTAACTTTTGATCTGTAGCCTTCAAAGCTCTTGGAAAGGTGTTCCTTGGAGTTGGGCTTATGGTCGCATATCACTGTGACAGATACGGTATGGTCTTTGTTGTTAAGGTTTACACTAAGAGAGCATAGCTATCCTGTTTAGTGTTTTTCCGGTCGCATTTTACACTTAAGTTTTCATGACACTTAAGTTTTCATGACGCATGTTGCAAACATCATACATTTTTCAAGCCAAATTTCTCTCTTGTCAGTTGTCATCATCGACTTCCTTTCCCGACACGGGTATTTAACTTTCACTATTGATATTCTTACAATAAGTGATCCGATACGAGAGAAACTCACACCTGAGGGATGCCACTATGGCGTTATCTCAAACCGTTCATTTACCGCCAGGTATTTTAACTACTATGTGATGCGTTTCAAAAAATCTCATCTTTGTTTTTTCATCAATGCAGGTACATTAGCCCCGAATCCTTTGGATACCTGGATCTACTACATATATATTAAAATTTGCATCGATTTTCTTCTTTTCTTATTCTCTGTATCTCTCAATTTTTCTTCCCCTTTTGTCAACCAACTTGTATGTTTTCTTTCTACATATATATATTTTAACTACTGTGTAAAACCGCTTCTTACAAACAAAAACATTCTCAAACAAGCCCACACTTATGGTATAATAGTATTGATATGCAACCGCAACCGCAACCACAACCACAGTTGAATTCGTTAAGCGCATGCCACAAAAACTGTAAACATGATGAATAGAAGTGTTAGAAAACCCCCCTTTTTTTTTTTTTTTTTTGCGGAAGATAGAGAGTTCGAAGCTATTACAATAATTTATAGGAGGGGAAGTTTCGTACCTGAGACGCAAGGGTAGAAACCCAACCCTTTCTACAAGTATATTAGACCATATGCAAACAGAAAACAAAATAATATGCATATCCAGAATTTTGTGGTGCGAAAGTGCTTTCAGATTAAACAAACCAATATATATTTTCATGCCAAATTATTTAGTAGACAGGATTTGTTCGTTGCGGTCTCTGCTTCTGTGCTCCTCCATGTCTAAGTTGGGATCTTAAAATGAGATAAGGCAGAGGTTCCATCTAGGCCTTTGTCATAGAAATGGGTGTCGTAGTCCCTCACAGTAGTCTCCCTGTACTTTGGAGGGTTGTCTTCTGATACCAACTCCTTAATAGGTCCATAGAGATTTGTAAATGGTAGCAAACCTGTGCTAAAGAAGCTGGCAATGGATATCCTTGGACCTTCACGGTTCGCCAATACCCTGTGTTCTACGCTTTTGAATCTATCATTTGATATGAGCTGAAAATCCCAAAAAGAATTGAACATAAAAGACCTAATTATGATAATCGAAGAATTCTAAGACATATTCTAAGAGAACGCTAACATGCGACCAAAGCTTGTCTCGAGTATTAGTCATTAACAAACTAGCTTAGTTTACGATACTATTCTCTTAATTTAATAGTAGTTTTTAGGGAGAAAAAAAAAGGGCAATTGTATACGTGTGCTTACTTGTAAAAGATCTCCAATGTTCACCACTAAAGCCCCAGGCACAGGGGGTACATCAATCCACTTATTTTGACGATCAACAACTTGCAGACCACCAATATGATCTTGCAGAAGGACCGTAAGGAAGGAATCATCAGCGTGCTTGCTTGTGCCCAAAGTTAACTCTGGCTGTGGACAAGCAGGATAGTAATGGCCTAAAACCTGTAGCCCCTTACTACAATCTATGCTATTCAAGTGGCTTGGCTTTAGCCCAAGGGCCTCCGACAACAACTCAAACAACAATTTCCCCAACTCCATTACTCGCTTTGAATACTCGATCAGTACGTCTCTGCAAGTTGAAAACCAGGAAAGCACATTAAACTTGTCAAAAGTATGGAGTTTAATGATCTAATCCATCAAGGAAGGAATCTGCACCAGGTTACTGTCACCAATTAAACCAGAGAATTGGGTTGTCAAATACCTGCATACTTCTGGCAAGTCTTCTGGCTTAGGAGGATATTGGAGCCATGTAACACTTAAAAGTATCCCTCCAATTCGTTGCCAGTGAACTATAAAGATCAAAGTTGCTATTGTAAAACAAAGGTTTAGAGTGATCACGAGTGTAAAACTCTTTCTTGACTCGAGTGTCCTGCTCATAAAACCCACGTACCCCATCCTTTATCGCCTCCAGAACACCTTACAGGTATCCCATGATTCACTATTTGAAAGAAGCCCAAGTCTCTGATGCCTCTCCAACTTTTTGCAACAATCTCATTGCGCTTAGTTGGATTACCATGGTCTTCAAGGTCTATTAGCGGAATGCTAAACTGGGTGGCTTCTGAGTCAGTGCTTGTATTGTTGATGGAGTACTGATCGTCCAATTGTGGTGGTTGATGAAAAATTCTAGGAACCTCGGCTACCCCGGCATCAACAAGACCCTTAACGCCTTCCCTTGTCTCATCAAAAGCTTTCACTTCGCGTTTTCGATCGTAATTGTTTGGAACCTCATTGGTGTTGGGAGCTACCATCTTCGCTTGTGACAAATTGGTAAAGCTTGAAGTTTTAGTGGATATGAGGGTAATACTAGGTGTGGTTCAGACAATAATGAGTGGGCAGGAGTTGGAAGAAAAGAACCCAATCAGCATTAGAAGAAGAAAAAAAACCCCACACGAAACTATAACAAGGCAAAAAAGACAACTTATGGTGATATGTCAAAGTAGCACAAGGAAATCAAGAATCTCACCAATGAACCCCAGCCAGATCAACATCATAGTTAGCAAAGCAATCCGCAACTTGTAAACCCATATCTATCTATCTTGTAAACCCAGAGTTTTTTTTGGATCATTCTCACGATACAAAATAAATTAGTTTTTTCCTTGTTTCTAAATTATTAAGTTTTAAGTGTTTTTGTAAGTATAATTTTATCGATGTCTTACATGTGAAAACAAATAATTTTCTTATATAAAGTGAGGGCATATTTTTTTACGTCGCTCCGGGCCTCAAAAATCTTTAGACCGGCCCTGCCGGAAACACCAAGCTCGAGAAACAGGACGTGAAATAAGAACAAAACAGCAGGAGTCATGTCAAGAGACTCGCTACGTTGTAAGAAATCAATAGTTGTCTTTTTACTTCCTTCTCTACAGTGCTAATTAGTGTTGGATCTGTGGCGGAACCCAACCCATATTCTATGCCCGGAACCGTGCCGTGCCGTAAGGGTAAATGTGATTGTTTCGTCAAGAAATTGAACAAAAAGGTTGGAACTTGTCATGTCAGGGTCC